TGACCGCACGTACCAGCACAGAAACCAATACACGCTCTGGAAACATGGGCAAAGCCGCTGACTTATCCTCACAGGCCGGGTCTGGTTGGGAAGAATCCCCAGGGTCAGGCCGAGGCGACGCCGTGGGAAGTACCCCCTCCTCCTCGGACTCCCCCGAGATAACAGGAGACGCAACTGCAGAGTACGTTTCCTAGGGAGTCCCTGCGTCAATGCGCGTTCAATGCGTGACACGAAACCATCCATGGTAGAGGAAACAAAATTATATAATTTTTAGGGATAGCACCCCGCGGGGACTAAGAGTGACTGGCAAAAGGACGTAGGCGTGCAGGCCGCACAAACGTTGGACCAAGAAGGTCGCAGCCCTCACAAGGCAACGCAGTTGGTTCATTCCTGCGTTCCATGGCCCACTGTGCACTAACCACCCCAGAACCAGGAGACCGCAACAGGTAGAGAGAGAGACCCCAGCAGTACTAGCGACCCCTTGTCTGTCAGGGCTCTGCAGCGCACCAGCCACGCTCTGGCTCAGTAAACTGGAGTCCAGAGGAGAGCTGCACTGTCTGACTGTAGCCAGCAGCGTCTCCAAGCCGAAAGGAGGCACGCCCTTTCCAACTGACGCTGAGAGGGAGCCCAGGGGGAAATTACATCAGCAAAAGGGTGCTTGCCCTCAACCAAAATGGCGCCCGCGGCGACCGGAGGCCACAACCAGACCGGGGCCTCAATTAGCGGCCGCAGACGCCGACCGAACGACACCCGCCGCGACCGTGCCGCAACTGCTCCAGCACTGTAGCCCGGGCACAGGCATGTTCCCACAACATGCCCCACACCTCCCATAATGGCAGAAGAGCCCCAAGGGAGACCCGTCCCACACACAAGGCCCGACACTTGGGCCCACAGACGGACACCATGAGAGAGGAGGAGAAGGCAGCCTGGAGAGTGCAACTGTGGGGACAGTGCAGCTCCAGTCGCGGCGCCGCCAGCCTGAATGGAGTGCTGTGACTGGAAGGCCAAGACCCCCAGTCATATGCACCTCCACCGGGACGAACCCACAGGCGTCGAGAAATCATGTCGCAGGCGACCACCCGTAGTGGAGTCTGCATGCGCTCGCCGGCCACGCATGGGAGACTACAAGGATCTACATTCATCCAGCATGTCGCCCTGGTGACACTTGCTTTAAGAAACAGCGAACAAAATAGAGGAAAAAGAAAACATTTCCAGAGAAATGTTTTTAGCTCCTTGCTACTGAAGCTAGGCAAAAAACTGGAGAATTGTCATCAGGTGGGGGGTTGGGCCACCAGCAGGGGCCGCCCATCGACTGTCTTTGTCTTTTGTTATGTGCCTAGCGTCCTTCTCCTGCAGGTAGCGCTATACCCTACAATACAGGATCTACAATCTGTTGCCCTATGTCCTTCAATGAACGGGAGAGAAATGTTTACGCCTTTTTTCTAAAGTGTACTTCTGCTTTAAAATAGTGAAACAATGGGGGTCCTGGCTAGCACGCAAGCCGGACGGACACATGTAAGTGAGGTGCTCCCAGCTTACCGGCCCAGATGTGACCCCGACGACGGAAATGCAGTCACCGCTCCTCTGCTGGCATCCCCTGGAGCCTGCCGACATGGGTCGCAGACCTAAATCTAGCCGCGCAAACTGACGGCTTTCTTTGCCTCTTCGGACCCGTGGAGCAGGCACGATGGCTCACTCCCCCGGGCTTTCTCTATAACTTCAGAGCCGAAGGAGGCTCAGCGTGCGGCAGCCCGACAGTTGCAGGGGATCTCCCCCTCCCCGCATGAGTCATCCTCCTCTGTCTCCTCCACAGCAGGCAACCCTGTAAAATCCAAGCTGATGGCAGGGGAAAGCAGCCACTCCACTCCGGTGAGTCACACTGACGATTCCATTGATGATACTAGGGAACTGCATGACTCCATCACATGCTTCCCCACATCAGATCAGCCAGTCCTTGATACCACCTTGAAAGATATGTTGGTCTCTTTACGTACTACTATTCATTCGGATATCTTGTCCCTCACTCACGCAATTCAATATGTGATTGATATGATGCAACTACTGCTTTCAGATCTTTCACCCTCCGATCTCACTGACAGGATCCACCGCCTTCCTAAACCGTCTTTCCTAGCGGAAAGATCCCACGTGATGTTCTTCTGCGTATCCACTTCTTTCATGTAAAGGAGCGTCTGATGCCTAGAGTCCGGGACACCACCCAGCTTCCCAAGCGCTTATCCAGATTTCAGTTCTTTCCTGACCTGTCCCAGCACACCTTAGGAGACAGCTGGGGCCCATCATCAGAGCTCTGCGGCGACATGAGGTCACCTATAAATGGGGATATCCAACAAAAATAATTGTCTCCTACAAGGTAGAGACACATTCCATCGCATCGCTGAAAGAAGGCGCTCGCATCTTGGGCATGTGCAATATCTCTCCAGAAGATGGACCTCCTGAGCCTCCTATGCCCAGCCCACAACACCTGTTGTCCGGATGGAAATCGATCCCCAAGGATCGGAAACTTCATCCTTGACTGTCGTCTGGATTTCCATATTTCTTTTCTCTTAAAGATGTCCCTACCACAGTGGAGTCTGGAGTCATTGCATTATGACAATCTGTTCTTATGTTTACCCCCATTACTACTATGCGCAGTGAAATGCTGCTTACGGATCCTATTCGGATCGTGGTTCTCATTTCCTTGTTGGCCTTAATATTGGTGTTATGTTTTGTTGTTTTTTTCTTGTTTTTCCCACTACAGTGCACTTAGTGATCTCTCTGGACTTCGTCCTTGTTTCGGGAGTATGCCTTATACTCTGAGATATCCACCCGTTACCACTGCAATGTCTCCCTTATGTAAGTTGGCGGCCCTTACCTCTTTATACTCAATCCCGCCAAGAGTCTGCAATTTGTCTCTAATAATGCTAAAGGTTTGAATCATCCTGTCAAATGCTCATCTCTTTGGAAAGAAGCAGTAACAACTAAGGCTGATGTCCTCTGTGTCCAAGAGACACACTTTCGAGGGGATGCGGCTCTTCTATGCTCACATGCTATGTTTCCACATACTTTTTTTTTCTAATATGCCTACTAAGAAAAAAAGAGGTGTCATGATTGTGGTTAAAAAACAGGTCACATTTTCTCTACACGACTTGATTGTTGATCCCATGGGAAGGTATATTATCCTCATAGCCTAATTGGACAATGCTCTATACATGATTGTTAATGTTTATACACCTAATGTTCGACAATTGCGTTTTCTGAATAGATTGTTTATGAAAATCTCTAAAGTAAAAAAGGGAGAACTTATTGTATGTGGAGATTTTAATGTGGTGCCTGATCCTGACATGGACTCTACTAGTTCACGCAGGTGCGACGTTACCAATCTCCCCTCTCTCTTATGCACTGCAGATTTATACGATGCTTGGAGATGCTATCATGCTGGTGAAAGAGATTATACTTTTTGGTAGAGTGCTCCATACTATACCGCCTAGCTGATACCAAAATACACACTATTACGTGGTCTGACCATGCACCTATATCCATGAGAGTCGCCAGTCGGCACTCGTCTTCATTTAAGCGACTTTGGAGAAACAACACAGCACTATTCAAACAGGTTGATAGCATTTCTAACATCACCACTTCTTTAGCTGACTATTTTTCGATTAATCAAGGCTCTGTGGATGACCCTTATATCCTCTGGAATGCACACAAGGCTGTTATGAGAGGGGTGCTTATGCACGTCAATGCTAGGTTAAATAAACAGCGGTCACAGCGGATTGATAACCTACCCCAAAATTTACCCCAAAATAGAATCTACCACAAAATTTCCGCCCAAAATAGAATCTACCCCAAAATTTCCGCCCAATTTCCCTCAATACAGATTTTAAAATCTATGCCAAAATACTAGCAAATCGCCTAAAGGAAATCCTCCCTTCCCTTATACATCCTGACCAGAAGGGATTTATTAAAAGGTAGACAAGCACCTGACGCTACTAGATGACTTATTAATATTATTACATTATGCTGAACGACGCAAAATCCCGTCCCTGCTACTTTCTCTCAATGCTGAGAAAGCATTCAACATAATTCATTGGCGTTACCTACAGCAAGTACTTCTCAAATTTGGCTTTTCGGGGCCTATATGCTCGGCCATATTGGCCCTATACTCTTTAGCCCAGGTTTATCATTCACAGGCGCTCTCTAAATCTGTTCACATATCAAATGGTACCAGACAAGGGTGTCCCCTCTCTCCACTAATATTCAACCTTCTCATGGAGCCATTTGCTGAATCTGTCAGATCTGACCCTGCAATCACAGGATTCAAAATTGGCCATTGTCACCATAAAATTCATCTCTTTGCAGATGATGTTATCCTCATGCTTACTGACCCCAGCACCTCCATTGCTGCGGTTCAAAGGGCCATCGCTAGATTCAGTGCGATCTCCTATTACAAAATTAATGACGCTATGTCTTTCATATTGAGTCTAGGGATTGACCCTGTGCTACGTACCAAACTATCAACTGATTTCCCCTATACATGGAAACTGAATAGCATATCCTATCTAGTTGTCTATCTTACAGCCTCACAATTTTACCCTGTTCCTACACAGCTTCCGTACTGATCTCCAAAAGATAGCTAAATTCGAATTAACCTGGTCTAGACGACTAGCTGCATTTAAAATGATGGTGATCCCTAAACTACTATATCTGTTTAGAACTCTCCCTATTTCAATCCCTCAAAGATATTTTCAGTCACTCAGATCAAGTCTCCTTCAATTCCTATGGCAACATCAGAAAGCTCGCTGTGCGTACTGCCGATTACTCAAACACAGGAGTGTGGGTGGATTCTTCTATTTTAGATCAACTGAAGCACTGGTTCTGTCCCTCATCTGACATACTGTGGAGGGATATAGAGCAATACATGACCCCTACCAATGATCTGGTCACCTTCATATTGGCATCGACCTGGTCTTCGTGTCCAAAGGTCGTGCTTTCCCCAACTATTACTACCTCCATTGAGGCATGGAAGCGGCTTGCTGTTCCTAATAAGACATATGATGTAACTAGTAAAATACAAATTCTGATTACTGTATGTGAAATTTTAATTGCTGATATTAATGTAAAAATGTGGTGTAGATGTGGTATCACAAAACTTTCTGAACTCTACGATGGCACTAATCTTTGAACCTTTTCAGATCTTCAAAGTATCTACTCACTCCCTCTGGCTGAATACTTTCGGTACTTGCAAATTAGGCACTTGTTGCTACAGGGAGGTCCCGCTGAACAGTCAATCCCGTCGCCCATCTGGTAGCTGTACAATAGCCCCTCCAAGTCGAGCAGTGGGATTTCCTTAATTTATAGTTCCTTTCAGAAAAAAAATGCTATTCCAGAAATCTCCCCCATTTGTAAAATGGGAAACGGAACTTGAGTCCGTCTTTTCCACGCAGCAATGGAGTACAGCACTCAAATACCTATATTCTACTTCACAATGTGTCAACCTCTGAGAACTCTCCCAAAAAGTTATGCTAAGGTGGTACCTAACCCCATATAGACTTGCCAAATTTTCTGCTGCTAATTCTAACTCCTGCTTGAGAGGATGTGGTAGAGTGGCTACACTACTCTATGTGTTCTGGTCCTGTAATAAGCTATGTACTTATTGGACTACGATTTTCCAGATTCTTAGCCAAATCCTAGGACAGAGTCTGGCCCCTACACCCGAGCTAGCCATTCTGAACTTGAGGATAGAGTGTGTGCCTTCTCCATACCGAGTGATAACTACTCATGTCTTACTAGCGGCTAAATTGCTGATAACCAGAAATTGGAAGTCTGATAGGACACCTAGAGTGGGTGAGGTGCTGGGGTTGGTTCATATCCATTACAACTATGAGCGGATTCTGGTGCACCACCATTCCAATCTTGACAAATTTGATAAAATCTAGAATTCAACTTGGTATACTAGAAAATCTAGAATTCAACTTGGTATACTAAGCATTGATATCCTATTATCCCTTCATGCACTGACATTGATATCCCCTTTTCTGCTTTTTTCTCTTATTTACTTTGTGCTATAATGTGCTAACATGTCCTGTTCTATGTGATATTGTTCTAGTCCTTGTACCTATACTGTACTGGTTTGCTTGACATGCTCTTTACATGTCTGACCATATATGTTATATTTTTTGTATACTTGTGCTTATGAAAAAATCCAATAAAAAAAAAATAGTGAAACAACCTATACCTGTTCCTTTTTATCTGTTATGAAAAGACAGGTCACATGTCACCCACCCCTTCAGTTTCATTGAATATTTATTTATGGAGTTCCTCCTAGACAAAGATTACTTATTTTTATGTTCAGAAAATGTTTATGTAATTCTTAATGACAAGACAGGTAAAACTAACAGCAAGGTTTGAACGGTGACATACAACCATTAATGAGATAATAACCGTTAGATATAATTAGAGATCACATAAATCACTATAGACTGTGTGTAACAGATGACCATAAGAGTAACAAGGAAATGTAGGACATACCTGAATACAAGTACCTGTGCATTCTTTGCACAGGCTACAGGACAAAGCCCATCTGCTTGGCGGGATGTGTGAAATCTTCGTAATAGGCTCCATCTTCTCTGGGCATCCAATGCTTACCTGAATGAGGGAGAAAATTGTTTATCACTTAACCAGTTGAAGTCCGCGGTGTTAAACCCCCTTCCCATCCAGGCCATTTTTCAGTATTCAGCGCTGCAGTACTTTGACTGACATTTATTCCATCATGCAACGCTGTACTGAAATGAATTTTATACCATTTTTTAGGGACAGATAGAGCTTTCTTTTGGTGGTATTTAATCACCACAGCGGTTTTAATTTTTTACTATATTAAGGAAAAATTACCTTTTTAAAAAAAAAAAAAAGTTTCGCCTATATTAAATGATAAAACATTTATTACCCAATTTTTGGGTAAAATATAAAAGACGGGGGTCACGTCGGGTAAAAAGACACCAAACATGTCAAGCCTTAAAATTGCGTGCGCGCGCGGAACCTCAAAAAAGTCCGCTCATCAGTTTAGTGTTATCAGTGATTTATGGCCCTAAAATTATTGCTCTCACTGCGACGTTCGCGGTGATATGTAACGTGTGTAGCGCAATTGTCGTTTCAGCGCGCTGGTGCACCGGACGCATATTTACGTTTATATGTGCGTAAATGTGGGGGACCTAAACATATTGGGGTTTTTTTTTAAAACTTTTTTTATATGTGACTTTTATTTTTTTTTTACTTTTTTCTATTTATATATTTTTTTTTTACACTTATTGTTATTGCTATTAACTGGTAACAGCTCTATGCATTGCACTGGCTTTTTCTGCCCGTGCGCGCGCTAGGAGGCGCGCGTGAGCAGAAAAAAATGCCGTCTATAGACGGCAACCCACCAATGCAGCTGTGCCGTCCGTCCGTTCTTTTTCAACGGGCGGATAGCAACTGGTTACAGTGGACCTAACATTAAAACTTGACCTTCACACTCATTTAATCTGTACAGCATTAGATGGATGAGAGCCACAAAGCTTGACTCACTCCAGTAAGAATTCAATTTTTCACAATGGGTCCACAAAAAGCCAATAGGTTTCGGGGGCTTAAAAGTTCATCAGGGTTTGTGTGCTGGCCGTAAGTTCAAATTTGTAATGGACACCAATTGTAAAATTATATGGATAGCATGAGATCTGGGTCACCGAACTGACAACGGATTTCATGCTATACATGTCATGAAAAATAACATTCTTATTGACTGAATCAAGCTTTAGGGCACTCTTCCTTCTAATGCTCTATAGACTACTCCTGGGCCCCTTTCAGATACCCAGGTTCACAGAGATCTGCCTCTAAAAGTTAGATTTTGACTAATATGTTCTGTCGATTCTGGGGTTCAGTGCTCCACCAATGCATACCGTCATGTTGATTTAATGTCAACATTAACAAATATTTAGAGCAACAAACATATTTTCTTCCATAAAAGTACTTCTTCTAAAACTAACCTTAGGTCAGTCTCACCAGTCTACAGTAGATCATTTGGTCTCTGGCTACCTATAAATGTGGAAGTTTTGATTTATCTTCTCTAAAGTAAATTAATGTAATCTTTGTAAACGTTAGTCATAGTTGAGGTCCTCTAACCCTCTTATTAATTTTGTTGTACTTCTCAGCAATGCAAACATTTTAGCACTTCCTCTTCACTTGTTGACTGCCTCAGTCTATTTAACAAATACATAGATATTCATATAAGCTGGCAGAGCAGAAGGTGGGGGTGTTCCTCCAATGATAAATACCTAGATCTCCCTCCCGGTCATTCAGACTGTTGAATGTCTACCCCTTCTGCAAACCTGGAGCTTACTGCCAACTTGGGCAGGATTGACACTTGTGTACAAGCACTGGCCTACAGTTTAGGGACATTGAAAGTACAGATTGATTATACTTCCTAGTCCAGACATTTTTCAGCAGAGATGTGGGAAAACCATTAGAACACAAATAATTTTGTAATTCTTTGTTGAGTTTTGTGTATGCATGAACATCTCTTTCTTTATGCGCTGAATAAGCTGAAAGGTAATTGTAAGCAAAAAATGGAAGACTAGACACACTTAAAAGAGCTATTATTACAGTAAACACATTATATAGTGTCTTACTTCAGGTATCCATAAGGCACAGCTGACATGGACCCACTTAGTTCCACTTCTTGTAGGTTTCAAAGCTCCTCCTCTCTTTGGGCATAGTAAACATTTAGCTTGAGCGCCCAGGGCACAAGATCGACACAGCCAGTTTCCTGTGGGGACTTTCAGAATTCCGTAACAAGCCTGAAGAAAAAAAAACAAATTATTAACACCACATTTTTGACTGGAGATAGCAAAAGCAAATTCATTTAAAAATTAATTTACAATTTCATTTATGAATATATTTAGAAAACTATCAAATAGATGTGGAATTAGCAGTTGTTTCTTGTTTACAATAAATTGTGTTAAAAACTATGGAAAGCGCCTATTTATCAAATTAGTAATATTAGTGATATTTTATAGCCCAACTCCAGGCAAAAAATAAAAACCCTTGCAGTTGGGCCCACCCACACTGCAAGGGTTACATGCTTGGCCTAGGGCAGCGTTTCTCAACTTTTTTTGTCACAATACCCTTAAAAAGTATGCAAAATGGGGGCGTGGCCTGGCGCAGGACCAAGATGGACGTCTAGTCTCTACTCTCCGAAACCTGGGCCCCTCTTATTAAGCTACTATTCCGATATCTACTGAGTTTCCACCATCCAAACCATGAGGAGAACCGGTAAAACCACTCAGGCGCGCAAAGCCCCCCGAGATTCGGGAACACAACTTGGCCGTAACCTACCAGATGTAGGTTCCGATCCCAACCGTCGGGACGCCACGTGGAAGACACAGCGCCATCTCCCTCCGCCGGGGAGTCCCCTGGCAGCAGCCCGAGCAGAGACCCACCCCACCTGCACCCCGATCTGCTCACATTGATGGGCCAGATGCCCTGAATGTCGGATCTCACCTCCATAGCTCTGGATATTAAATCCACGCTGTCAGCGGCAATATCGGAGCTAAAGGCTGACATACACACATTGACTGATCGCATCCAGACGATGGAACAGGAGGCCGCCCGTAACTCCTCTGCTGTTCGGCAGGTCCAACTCAAGACTACCCTCCATCACGCCCGACTCATGGAAATGCATCGGCACCTGGAGGATCTCGACAATAGGGGCCGCCGACATAACCTAAGGGTGATAGGCATTCCAGAAACGATCGAGGCCTCGCAACTTGACCGCCCACCGGACTCACCGGTCCCCATGGAACGGTTCCATCGGGCTCTGAGGCCTAAAGGAGGTGAAGCAGACCCATCTCGAGACATGATTTGCTGCCTAATTGACGTTCGGCTGAAAGAAGACGTTGCTCCAGGAACAGGCAGCGGCTCCTCTTCCAGAACGCGGAGATCCAATTGTTCCAGGACCTCTCACAAATCACCCAACACAGGAGAGATCTGCGCCCCCTGCTACAGCTACTACGCTCCCGCAACATTCAGTACAGATGGCGGTTCCCGTTTGGCCTAGCGGCCACCCACTCAGGCCGCACATACCTTCTCACGGTCCCGGCGGACCTGCAACGCTTCTGTGACCAGCTACGTCTCCCGCTCGTGGACCTCCCAGATTGGTACGAAGCCTTCCGGTTCCCAGACGGTCGATCTCCGGCTCCCCCGTCTACTCCTCTGGAGCGCCGACACTCCAACACCCCGGGCTGATCGAGGGAGGGCTCCCCACGGGCCGAAGCATCCTGCATCGAGAACGCGTCAGCACATGCACCGCCGTTAGGTCGGCTGGCCTGAGTCGTCAGCGTGCTATCCGAGACCACTATTACCGTCTGTCTGGACTTGGCTCCCCCTCGACGAACCTACAGGTACTGTGCCCCTGCGATCGAACACCACCCTTCTCCCCCCCCCTCCCCCTTTTTTTTCTCTTTTTCCCCCGAGCTGGAACTATAGACATCCTCGATACTGGACTGGCTTTGGCCTCCATGGCTGGAACCTAGAGACACCACCACTCTGCCCGGTCCGCACGCTCTGGCTCTCCCCCTTCCCGACCTGCTGCCGTGAGAAGCCCAAGTTGGGTCATGTCCCAGGACAATGATGACAAACGAGAGAGAATGCGGAGGATTCTCGGCTGCGGCAGCTACGTGTATTTCTGAAGCAATGTCTCCCTTTTTGAAGTTTTTCGTCAGTATTGCACATTACTCTTTATTGTATTGAATGTCCTCTTGCCTGCTGTGTGCCCTCACGATATGCATAAGCTACACTGATATTCCGCCCCCCCCGAATTAGCTACTACTAGCCACCTATCTAGAGTGGAGCCGACCAGTGGATGGAGACCGCGTTTTTCGCAAGCGTTGCTGCGCCTCGGCTCAACTCTAATGCGGAGGGCTCACGACTCCCCCCTGTGCTGCTCCCCTGTGGCCGCCGCTTCCCGCAGGCTCCTATCTGACCACCTAAGCTTGAGCTCATGATATATCTTCTTGTGAGACTGATCTATTCGCCCCAACCGGCCTCAATAGTAATTCAGCACGCAGCCTCTTAAGCAACTGCAAGCTGAATCCGACGAACGGCTTTGAACGGGGAGAGCATGATAGTTCCACGATTTGTTTCGCATTTTACGGTTTGAACTCTGTTCCTGATCACCTTTGTTCCTCAGACGAAGTAACCCCATTGGTGAACGTTGCTGAAAAGTTATCTCTGGTGCTCTAGCAACCTTTTCTTCCCCTCCATAAGTCGGGTCAGCTACATCGCTAGCTCCACCACCACGACCTAGCTATCCGACTCGTATATCTGGCCCATATATCCATCCCCACCTACTCCCATGGCACTGTCTCCACAGTTTACAACGCTTCCACCGCTTCCTAAGAAGAGCCCTGGCCAACCACCCTTGCACAACGGACCGTACCTCCTCGCAAACTACGCATCATCTCACGTAGAGGGGCCCGGGTTCAGGAAAACGTCCCTTGACCCTTCCGCTCAGTCACACCTCCACACGATCTGTCTTGCAGTGCGAGTCGATCGACACAACCCGGTGCTTTACCTTTTCAGGGATAAGGCTAGGTTTCCTTATCCCCCGGGTTGCAGGTGTACTTCCTAGTACACCAGTTTTTGTCCTCTCCCCCCTGGCTGTATAACATCCTTCTACCTCCCTTCTCTGTACCTAACTCTCCCACCCCCCTGCCCCTTATATCTCACCTCTCATCCTCCCTTCCTCTCCCTCCTTTCCCACACCTTATCTCCCCGCCCGTCCGCCCTCCACTCTCAAATCTTCTGGTCCTACCCCGATTCTCTTGCCTGCTCTACCTACCCTCTTCTGATACTCTACTGTCGCTCCATCTTCATCCACCATGGCGTCAGCGCTTGACCCCGCTCCTGCCGCTGCGCTGGAAATTACTATCTATTAACGCCAAAGGCTTAAACGTTCCACAGAGGTCTCAATTCCTTAGAGCATTTTCTCACCATAAAGCACTGGTGATCCTACTACAGGAGACACATTTTAGAAGCAACGCCATACCCAAACTTCACTCCAGACAATTCCCACTAGCATTCCACTCCACCAATGCCTCTTCCAAAACTAAAGGAGTATCGATTGTCTTTTCCTCCCACGCACACTTCCAGCTAACCGCCCAACTGTCAGACCAAGATGGCAGATACCTAATGCTTAAGGGTAAAATTAATAACACCCCTGTCACTATTGTTAACGTCTATTGTCCTAATGTACGGCAGGTACATTTCCTGCGCACTGTCTGTTCCAAAATTCGTGACTTTGCGGAAGGAATACTCATTCTGAGGGGTGATTTCAACGTCCCACTGAATCCTCTCCTTGACACTTGGCAAGTCGTGTGTTCCTTTTAAGTGCCTACGATCGCTCAAAAAGCTCTTAGCCTCCCTGACCCTCCATGACACATGGCGATTCCTTCACCCCACGATGAAGGACTTCACCTTCTTCTCCCACCCTCACTTGAGCTACTCCAGGCTAGATTTTTTTTTCCTTTCCCAACGAGATCTCCCTAATCTGAAGGGAGCCACGATTGAGCCCATGGTTCTCTCAGACCACGCACCAATTACCATGACCATTACCTTCCCCACACACTCCTCCCCTGCCCGTATCTGAAGACTCAACCCCTCGGTCCTCGGGGAAGCTGTTTATGTGTCCCAAATAAAAGACAAGCTTTCGGAGTACTTCTCTCTGAATGAGGGCACTTGCTCCACCCCGACAATGTTATGGGAAGCCCATAAGAGTGTGATCAGGGTAGAATTCATCAAGGTACAAGCCCATCTCCACAAACAGCATAAAACCAGATGCTCCTCCTTACTTGCCCGCATAGCCACCTTGGAAGCGCTCCACAAATGCTCCCTGGCCCAATCCCACCTCGCTGAACTGACACAGGCACGCACCGATCTTCTTGAACTACTTCATGAGGGAACGAAAAAATCCTATATGTCCCTTAGTAAATTTTACTACGAACATGGCAATAAGGCAGGGAAATTTCTGGCCCGATCACTGAAAAAACAATCGGCTTCACGAATAGTCTCCCATATCACCGGAAGAGATGGAAAGAAATATCTAGACTTCTACATGCACCTACATAAACTAGCACCCCCCGATCCGTCGTCGGCCCAGTGGAATGCTCGTCTCGTTGACATCGAAAAATTCCTCTCCCAACATAGCCCGTCACCCCTACCTGAAAAGGTGATAGCGAATATGGAGACCCCGATCACGCCACAAGAGGTACTGATTGCGATATCCCAACTCAAGCCAGGAAAGAGCCCAGGACCAGACAGGTTCACATCTCTGTACTATAAAACTCTTTCAGAAACTTTGACCCCACACTTCTTAACAGCATTTGACCGATTCCCCAGAAGTCCCCACGGGTCCTCCCACCTATTAAAAGCTCACATCACAGTTATACCGAAAGAGGGGAAAGACCCCTCCTTATGCGCTAACTATCGCCCCATTTCTTTGCTCAATGTAGACGTCAAATTGCATGCAAAAATTATTGCCAACCGTCTCTTGCCCCTTCTCCCGGACCTGATCGATGGGGATCAGGCAGGGTTTATTCCTGGGAGAGAGGCCAGAGACAACACCACTAAGGCAATTGGCCTCCACCATTGGCTTAGGAGTCAGGGACATGCCGGCTTCCTTCTGTCCACAGATTGTGCACAGAAGGCATTCGACAGAGTGGCCTGGGATTACCTGTTTGCCGCCCTAAAACACCTGGGTTTCGGCTCACGTATGCTAGATCGCATGGCTCTGCTGCATCAC